GGGGGGGGGGGGGGAAATAAGGAAAAGAAAAAGGAGACGCAACGTCGGGGAAGAGATTGTACAAATTTAAAAAAGCGCAAGAGGGGAGTGTAGATGCACAAGCGAAAGAACAAGAAAGCGGGACGAGAGAGAGGCAAAGGGCACGAAGGGGGGAAAGGGATGGATTTTCGGCGGAACCAACACGATTCCGGTGCGCGCGAGATGGCAAGCAGGAAATTTAGACTTTTCACCACCACGCTAGCCAAGACTGCATCTTGGAAACTTTTCAAAGTTCAACCGTGTGGGAGGTCGCAAAGGGCGGAGGTGCCGTGACGCAGCAGCTGCAGCAGACTGGGGATGCCGAAAGTGGACTTTTGACCGCGCGACTACGCTCCTGCTGATCCGTGTGCGCCGTGAGGCATGCAGTCGTGTAACGAAGGTCATGCTTGGACAGCTTTGCGATCTCATGACGTGGCCGGTACCCCAGCTCGTCCATCTTGCGGTCCCAATTCCATAGCGTCGACGACCGCCTTGCCAATAGCAGGTCCAGCATCGTGCGTAGGGTCCACGCGTCCCGATTCCAGCGCTTCCGTGTACTCTTCCACGCTCCTGACCAGGTTCAAGAAGCGCGGGTCTTTGATGAAGCGCGGCACAGAGTCCGTCGCCATCAGCCTGAAGATGTGATCCTGTATGCGCTCGTACAGCCTGACCATGGTCTGGAGTTGGCTCGCATGCAGAGGCGCCTTGGGCATGCTGGCGTGCACCGCCGCCCTCCTCTCTTCCAGTCCACCCGGCGGTCCAGGCGGCGAGAAAGCGCCAGCAGGTCCGCTTTGACCGCCATTGCGCAACTGCTGAGCGCTGACATTTTCCAAACCCTCTCCGCCTGGGCCCTTGGCATCCGAGATGACCTTGTTCATGTAATTGACCAGGTCAGCTCTCAGATTGTGCTCAATATTGAGCTCGCAAGGCGAAGCTGGCGCCAAGTAGGTGTTGTAAATGACGAAAGCCATCGCTATCAAATCTTGTTGATGCCTCTCCATTGCCGTGTACCCGTAGTTGGCATTGTTGCTGCTTCCCGTCACGCCCCTACCCAATCGCTTCACGGCGTTAGCCACTCCGCTTCCACCTCCACTCTTTTCCTTTTCCTTTGCCCCTTCCGAAGGTCGAATGGCGACCGCGCTGCTCGTAGTGTGGAACCTCCTCTTAAAGTCCTGCACATCCAACCAAAAGCTCAAATTCTCTTCGCAAAAGTTTTGCTTCAGGAATTCCCTAAACAGCGACCGCAGCGCTGGCTCTTCCAAGATTTGCTTCAACCGATTCGTGTTGCTGTCCCGCGCATTGTAGCCTCCAAGCTGGGCAGGTAGCTCCGCATTTCCAAAGCCGGGCGAGCTGGATTGCGCACCACCGCTGCTCGGAGGCCTGCCTCCGCGCCCCACGTACTCGTTTCGCAACCTTTCCGCAGCAGAAGGTTTCCTGTTCAAGGCGCGCTGGCTGTCCGAACTGGGAGAGCTATTGCCCGCATGAGGTCCAGATCGATCTCCGTTGATGCCAACAGGAATGCCAATGCCAGACCCGGTATCATTCTGGTTTGATCGTTGACTGCCAGCGGCGGAGGTCGGCCGCGCTTGCTGGTACTGCAGCTCTTCCTGCTCCAGGCCGCCGGAGTGGTAGCTTTGCACTTGACTGTAGTCAGAGAGGTGACCGTAGCCTGCCCACCTCGCTGTAGTCCTGCCCTTGTCCGTCACCGCATACATGCATTTGTAGTGGCATTTGAACTCTCCCTCTGTCTGGTTGCCATGCGCATCTTCTCCCCGCACCGCAACGTTGGCTGTTTCGTCCGCATCTTTCCTGCTGCGATCGTAGGCCAACTGGATGAAACCGAGCCTCACAAAGTGGGCTGCGATCTCCGCCGCTTCGTCCCTACCGCAGATGGTCGTAAAGTCGCAGAGCCAATCCAGCGCCGCGATGGACGGAAAGCAGTGCTTGGCCACATGAAGCGTCGTCTGAGTGGACTTGGGCAGCCGCACCCTTTCTGACAAGTCCTGCATTTCTATGCCCATCGTTCGATCGAATTCCCCTTCGGAAGGGATGGGTTGTCCATTCTCCCGAATCTCTGCCGAGGGTGGGTAGTTGGGTTGTCGGCCCACGAAGCGCCTGAAGATCACCTCGATGACCGGCCTATTGATGAGGAGCTCGTCGTCGTGCGTCCGCCTCTCCAAGTGAAGCAGCTTCATGCAGATGGGCTGGCTGGAGAAGACCGGCAAGAGGTGCTCGCCGTTGATGCCGTTCTTGGTGATGAAGCGTTCGAGGATGTGCAAGCCTTTGGGAGTGATGACGTAGATGCCCTTGTCCTTGAACACGCTGCTGCCAACATCTGTTGCATTCTCGATCAGTCTTGCATCCATGAAGTGCTGGCAGATCCCCTTGGCCATGTCGCGGTTCATACTAAAAGTCGTCGTCGTCGTCGTCGTCACCACGCGACTGGGCTCGTTGGGGTCGGGCGCACGATTGGATTGCGAAAATTTCAGGGCTGACAAATTCTCTGCAGCCTCGTCTGTTGTGAACGAATTTGGATACTGCTTGAAGTACTGTCGATGTGTCTGGAGCTGCAACGACACTATCAGTGTGGCAAAAAGATCATGTGTGTCCTGTGCCAAGAGCGAAGCAGGGTGTCAACCACGCGCTCAATTTCTCGGGCGGATAGAGCAGCTAATTCCCCTTTTCTCGACCCACCTTTGCGAAAGGCCGGCCTCTCCTGGTCGTCTTCATCATCCTGCTGCTGGTCTGTTGCCGCGTACGCAGCTGCTCATTGCTGCTGCTAGCGCTGGCCGACATGCTGCCAAATGGGGCCCAATCTCCGCCCTCTGGCTCGTAGAAATCAAGAGATCGAAGCTGCCCAGCCTGCGAAGAAGAAGAGTGTCGAGGAGTAGTGACGGGCATTTTGCAAATGCGGAGAGCAGGGTCAGCACAAAGTCTAGCGACGCGTATGGCCGGGAATGAGAAAGAGGGGATGACGAGAGTGATGGAGAAGGGCATTGCCAAACGGAGCACCAGCGAGTGCGATCGGCGGAGGAGTACGTCTGCGCCACCAGCCAAGCCCCCAATCGCGCTTTTCACACCTATTAGCGCAATGAGCAATTTTGCGCTGGCGGTGCGTCGCGGCGCTGGTGCATAGCGGCACACGATCATGGATGCTTGGCAATCATTTGGCGTCAGGCCCAACATCGACAGCTCTGGTACCTGCCACTAGGAGAACGATTTCACAGCGCGCGTCCTTCTGAGCGACAAGCTTTGGTCGCACACCGCTGCACAGCCTTCCAACTGCCGAATGGTCGAGCAGCGGCAGCGATCCGCGCTGTCCTGAGCGAGCATCGAGAGCATCGGTGCAGCCGCACCTCACTCTCTATCGCACCGAGTCCTCACTAGGAATCGAAGGTGAGTGCGGTTGCTACTTTACGCCGAGCGAAGATGTGGCGCAGATCCGGGCTGTGCCACATCGCTTTGTACCGGTACCGCTGCCGCTGCCCGCCTTGCTTCTCCCTCGTGAACGGCGGCCCGTTCAGGTGGTGCCGCGCTTGTCAAATCGGCACAGAGCGGACCGCCTTGCCGCGGTGTGCCACTGTTTCGCTCTTCCGCGCACACATCTGCCGTTCTGCTGCCTCTCAGATCATTGCCTGGCTCTCCTCCCTCATCTATCGCCCACGCTCGTTCCTGCACTGGTCGAGGTAACGTTGTTCCTGAAACGAAATGAGGACCAACTCACCCTGGATTCCGCTTGCCTTCTGCTGGACGAGTTCGCCCTGCGCAGCTAAGACGAGACGTTGTGAATGTGAGAACCCCTTTCCCTCCGATAAAATGTGGCCCCTCCCTTCTCTCGGCCACCTGGCGGACTGATCCGTACGCGACGATGCGATGAGTGATCGAGTGCGAGCGACAACTCGCAATCGGTCGGCCGGGCGGCCTGTGGTTGAGAAAGGCGCGAAAGGTGCGGAGGTAGTTGGGGGGAAAGTGCAGATGCAGAACAGGTTCCGGTGCGCCGAACTTATCCTTTGCAAGTTGACGGAGCAGCGTCGGGTGTGTGGTGGAGAGTTGTGTGTCCAAGGAGCGATTGTATGCGGATGGATGATTTGACGTTGGATGCAGGAGATGAGACGCGCGAGTGCAGATGGCAGCAGAAATGCGGCCTGGAAAAGCTGAGCTTGAGCTTGAGCTTGAGCTTGGACGTCTGATGGCAGGCAGACTTGAGCAGGTTGGAGCAGATGGCCGAGGCGAGGCGAGGCAAGATCGTCGACAACGCACCGAGCGGCAAGAGGGGGGAAATGTGAAAAGAGTCGAGTCTCGAGCGTGGTGAAGGGAGTTGCGCGACTTGAAAAGACTTGAGCGAACAGACTTGACCTGCTAGCGCGCGCGGTGTGAAGAATTACGAGTGAAGGTGGTCTTTTGGCAGGTTTGAGCGTAGAGACAGCGTATCACTCAGACTGCAGTCAGGATCGAGTAGGTAGACAGACAGACGTGCATGGGATGGGCGTAGTGACCACAGCAGTCACAGTCACCGTCTCGATCGAGTCGCATCAATCAGTGAATTAACAGTCAGTGGCAGTCACGGCCATGCAGGCAGGCGCGCATCTCTCCTTCTTTCTCTCTCTCTTCTCTCTCTCTCTCTCTCTCTCTCTCTCTCTCTCTCTCTCTCTCTCTATCTGGCCGTGCAGGAGATGAGCTGAATCGTCCTTGTGCGCTTTGCCTGCTCTGGCCGGGTGACGGTACGGGATGCGTATGGCTGTGGTACGTGAGGCCGGGACATGCGGCCCTGGTCAACCCATGCAGCTGCAGCGCATCCTCATGCATGACCTCGCATCGTCATTGCATGCATGCCGCTGCTGCTGCTGCTGCTGCTGGTGCTCGCATACCATCATCCTAGCTGAATCGAATGCTCCGCCAGCGCCAGGCAGAGCGTCGTGAGCAGCTGCTGCTGCAGCACACAGGTCGCTCGTTGCTGCGACCTCGTCAGTCGTCCTCCAAGAGAACCTGGGCTCGTAACGCACAAGGAGACTTGACCATGCGCAGCATAGACGCAACTTTTGCTTTGGAGATGAAGCGCGACGGCCGGGCCTCTGCTTACAGAAAGAGGGCTACAGAATACATCTGCTTGTCTTTTCGTTGCGATTCTAATTCCAGCATTCAAGACCCGATCTTGGCTTTTTGCGCAGGCAGAACACATAAAGCACTGCATCATGCCCTGTGCTGCGGGTCAGCCGCGAGTGTGTGTCCATTGACAGACCAACTCAAAAAGTTTCGAAAACATGTATATAGCCTAGCTGTACCGGTTAGGCCCACTTTGACTATGCATGTGCGCTTCAATTAAGGGCGCAGGTCACGAGTTGAATTTCAAATTTGAAAAGCATATTTGACTGCATTTCAAGATTGAGCTTCACATTCACATTCAAGATTCAATCGCACTTTGCAGACCATGCATCAGCTTGTCAAAATTACGGGCAAAATTCTCGTCAAGTTGTGGAGTCTTCTCCACTTTAGACTACAGCAACAGCTGCTGCTGATGATGATGGCCTAGTCAAAGTCGTGAGCAGTAGAGTCACGAGTGACGGGTGTGCCAAGGTCCGAGTCAAGGACTGTTGACTAGCTAGGTGATGGCGCAAGCAAGCAGATGCGCTCATGCTGCTTGCTGAATCTTGACTGCGTTGCGCACGCACTGCGCCCAGCAGCGATTCGTGCGGGATGCATTGCACGCATACAGCGTCACGGCGGTGATGAGAGCGTGATGGCTGCAGCGCGCGAGCGTCGACCCCGCACGCGCAGGTGCCCGCACATCGCTATGATGATTACAGTACAGTCAAGAGTGTGAGTTGTGAGCATTTCATCCGAGATTCGAGATCGCAGCAGGCAGCTGTATGTTTGCATCTGTGGTTCCAAGGCAGCGGTCGAGCACCTCGTGAGCGCAGCACCTCCCTGCATGCCCCTCCGTCCCTCTTCGGATCCGCCACTTTTGCGTAAATCGTGCGCGCCGCGGCCGCTTTCTGCCATCCTTGCAAGCACGTGGAGTCCTTCCAGCCCTCGAGGATCAAACAAAGTGTGTCTCGAGAGTCAGAAAGTCACGATCACGATCCAGTGCCTGGGGATCTGCTGAATGCTGGTCAATTAGTCGTGAGTGCCAAGTATAAGCGAGAGTCGCACGGACCGTTCCGAATCGAATTCGGTAATCTTGAATGCAGTCGTGTAACCCGAGGTTGCCAATCTTGAATACGAGCTTGATGAGATTTAGGAAGAGGTGCAAGTTCAAACCAACCGATATCCATGCTTTTCCCTCGATCAATTAGCAGCAAAGCAGTCGATCACTCAACTCAGCGGGAATCGAGAAAGGTATATTTTGATTGCAGCTCTGTGATAATGGCTGCCGCATGCATATCTCCATATACATACATGCACGCAGCATGTAAGAGGGCGTAGTTCGCCTGCACCTCGGCCAGCATATGCTGCCGCTGGCGTTGTGTGCAAGGGCAGTCAAGTGGTGAGTCACACTGGCCATCTGCCCAACAATCTCGTCACGCACGCCATACATGCACGGCGCACGCTCGTGACTCACACTCCCCCCCCCCCTTCGTCCGCGCGCCCGCTGCTGCTGGCTCTTGCGCGCGCGGCTGATGTGCAACTTGAAGCCACACAGCTGGCCTAGCGCCAACGCTTCTCCACTCCGCGCTTCTCCGCACTCAGAGCGTGCACGCGCACACTCACTCACGACTTCTTCTGACTACCGAAGTTTTGAGTGCGCACTTTCACATTCGCATCCTCCCCAAGAGATAAAAGTAGCGAGTCTCGAATGAAAGGTGCTGAGGCAAATTCATGCACACGCTCAAGTCTTGATTTGACTAGTCAAGAAGGGGCCTGTCATCGCACACCGCAATAAGCGCGCGCGCGCATGGCGGCAAGCAGCGGCAGTGTGAGTGTCAGCAGCAGCTTCAAGTTTCTTCATTCGTGATTCAAGATCGAGTCGAGTTCTCTATCTGAGATGACAATTGAGCTGCATGCTTCGAGAGTATCATTCACCTAGCTGCTCCCATACATATATTTGCGATCATGTGGGTCAGACATGAGGAACGAAGCAGCAGATGCACGGGCGCACATATAGAGTGTCGAGTGCATATTGTGGCTGGGTACACAAGCAGCACGGGGCAGCTGCATGGGATGGTAGCTATAAAGGCCCCCCAGTCAAAGCTAGGTTGGTTGGCCCCACTCGCACTCGCACTCGTGGCTCACGCACCAACACTCGTGACTTGGCCACACAGCGCAAAACTAAGCTTCGCCGCAAAGGTAGAAGCCACACACAACAGACTTTGACTCTAGATAACCTTGGACATGGCATTTCAGAGGCTCGAATCACGTAGCAGCGGCGATGCCTGTCCACATGCAAATCGAGCGACAAAATCAGACTCGGTTCGCGAGCGTCGATGCTCCCCTGCAGCTAGTGTGTTGCGAGCTTGGTGTCTGATGTCGCATCGCTCGCCTAATCGGCGAAAAGCGTCTCTCCCCGCTTATCGAGAGCGTGAGCGGAAATCACATTGAGGAAGCCAAATGCACAAGTCTTCGAACAAGGCCTGATGACACGTGAATTTGCAGAAAAAGTAAATGTGAGAATTGATCGCCAAAGGGCAGCCTAAAAGGAGTGGACGAGCGTGGAGGGAGGGGACAAGACCAAAGAGTGCGGAGAGGGGCAAAGGGAGAGGCGAGAGGCTTTCGAGATGAATCGAAGGCACAGGTGCGAGACGAAAGGAGGGGCACGAAAGCGTCGTCGAAGGTGAAGCTCAAACGACGCTAGAGCGAATTTCCTGCGGCATCATTGGACCGAAGGATGACTGGATGCCCGCGCAACACACGGAGAATCGGCATGCTCAATGTAAGGCGGCTCGCCACCATGTTGCGTCCAGCCGTGCTTTGTAAAGTCGCGCTGGCTGGTCTGCTGAACGTGTGCGTAGTTCGGCTGATCGTACTTTTGAGCGTACTCCGAGTGCTGACTAGCCATCTCTTGACGCGCTTCCTCTGCATCGTATCTAGACTCCGCATCGTTCTTTTCGCCAGACAAGTTCGAGTAGGTGCTGCGCTGAAAGACACCGGGGATAGTAGCCTGAGCATTGCTTCGCAGTGCTCCGTCGTGTCCCATTGGTGAAGCTCTGGTAACTTTGCGACGTCTTTTGCAGATCAAGGCGCACATACCGATGACGATGGCACCAAGCAGTGCAGCACCAACTATGATGCCGATGCGCGCTGCAAGAGATAGATCCCCAGACGGCTCATCATCGTCGTTGAAGTGATGCGTATCCATCCAGTCTTGACGCGGCGAGCCCCACTTGCCAAAGTCCATGTTCCACGATTGACCTGGACGGTGCGTCTGGGCAGCAGCTGCAGCGCTTGTGAGCGAGTCGTAAATGCCAAATTTGGCGGCCTTTAGTCTGCTCGACGCAAGCTTGCCATGCGCCACCGGCAAAGCACCCGTCGGCACCGCGGCAAGACGCTGCTGCGCTGTAGTGGGCAGAGTTGCCGCGTGCCAGTCAACGACCTGCTTGGACGCCGTTTGCGTGACAACAGTCCATGGATAATCTTCAGGCCTGACGATGGTAGGCCCGGGCTGGACATGTGGTGCTTCGGCATTGGGCGTGGCCCCGGGCGGTGCTTCACTAAAGTTCGGGTCGTCGTCTTTTGGTGCTTCTCGACTTTTCACGCTTCCAGAAAGATGCGCAAGGCCGATGGAAGGAGGCTCGAATCTGAAGGCTGAAAACACATTCTTGAGTACCGATGCGCCAAACAGCAGAGGTTGCACAGGACCGTTTGCGCTTGCGTCGACATTCGAGTCGCTGTCCCGCCTGCACACAACGTTGCCTTTGCTGTCGTGCATTCTTGCAGACACCAGATCCTCCATATCGATGTGGAACTCTTGCCCTCCGAACGCGAGGGTCAAGTTGAGAGTGGCAGGTCCGGCACCAGGCAAGGAGCACGGGAACGTCGTGTATCCCAATTCTTCCTGGTATCGCGCACCTTTGACTTTGGAAAACATGTCATCAGTGATCCACGGTGGCATGGACATGCCGACACCTCCAGTGTCAAAATGTGCGGGCACTTTGCGCGAAGTCTCGATGATCTTGCCGTTCACTTTGAGATAGTCGATCTGCGCAAACCAGCCATTGGGTTTGCCTACGAGCTTCTTGGGGATCGGACCTGGGTATACATCTGAGGTGACGAGAGGTGCCCAGGCGATCTCGCCGTCGTATTGTGTTCGATCAAGACTGCCAATGGTGAAGAGCCCGCCAGGATTATCGCTGGCTTCACCTTCATGGCCATCCGAAAGATCTTCTCCGCCGACATTGCGAAGCAGAGCAAAAGTAAACAAAGGCTCTTCCAAGGCTCCGGATCTCCATAGGTACTCGAGTGGATTGATAAAGGGGTAGTCGTCCTTCGCGCCCATGGCGCTCCAGCCAAGGCCAAAGAGACCGCCTAGATTCTTTCCAGCTTGCGTTATGGAGCCTTGCGTAAGATACTGGAAAGGCTGCTGCTCGATTTTGAATCCAGCAATTTCGACAGTGTCCTGCACGTAAATGCCGTAGCCAATATCCGATCCTGTTCCATAGCTGACGCTTCCTTGCAGGTGTGTAGTGCCATTCTGCAAGGTCACTGCGTGTGAACTTGTGCTGTTGTTCCAGTCATAGGTCGCGTTCCCCTGGAGCATGTCAGCCGGAGGGAGTGCCGAAGCATAGCCGAACTCGCTCGCCTCCTGAACATAGCTCGCATTAAGACCTTTCATGAACTCCGGCGCGTATATGACCGGACTATAGCTTCCAGTGTCCATGAGTACGTGTACATCTACCGCTGGCGTGCCGACCTGCCAGACGGCCGAATAGAAGGTGTCGATTCCGAGGTCTTCCAATGTGGTAGCATTGGTAGCGCGATTAGACTCCTTGCGAGAAAGCAAACGCTCATCTCGAACACCTGTCGAGCTTTTTGCGCGTTTGGACAAGCGCAAAGGTATCCTGAAGCTTTGCGGTCGAATCGCCTCGGATCGCTTGACAGCTGGTGGGCTCAGCAATGGAGATACCTCCCTCCACTGAATAGGCGTAGGGGACGGAGCGGCGCTGACTGCGAGGGCACAAACGACCGAGAGGGACAGAGTGATTCGAGCACTGAGTCGCATGCCGGGCAAAGTGGCATAGGGGTTCGAAAAGGGACCACGAGGAGAAGAGAACTGCGGAGGAGCTTGACTGTAGATCGAGAAGGAAGTTCACGGGCAAGTCTTGCATGGCTCATATATAGACTCGCGAACGTTGGTTCTCCAGTTACCTCATGCTCGACATTTCACCAGACCGCAACATGTCACTGGCCCTTCTGAGACACGAGCGTTCTTGCAAAGTCTCTGGTCATGCTCAGGAAGCATCCCAGCATCACTAGATAGTGAAGACTCAGGGCGCAACACTCCTTCAGTAACATGGGTCTGTGCTAGGTCGATGGAGATTGCGTCTTTCGAGCACCTCGTGCTCGACTCGACGAGGCTGCATAGCCTCAAAGTCCATCAGCCGGCGGCTCGCGCCTCGCGGACCCTTTCTCCTCAAAATCGTGAAATGAATGCGTGCTTGCGCGACGCGAGAAGATGCACCATGCACGATGGACCACGCGGTCGCGTTTGATCCGTGTGAATGCGTGCGGCGCTAGGCCACTCGCGGCCCTCGGCCCACGGTCCTTGAACACTTTTTGACTCTTCACTGTTGACTCCCTTTGTCATTTCGTGTCCCTGGGCATGGAGTGGCAAACATGAAGCTGGCTAGCTTGATTCGCGAAAAAGCGTCGTTTTTAAGCAGTCAGCAGCCCTGCGCTCTTGCCTGATGGTAGTGTGACGATTCGGGCTAAAGTTTGTGCGCCGGCAATGCGGCGCGCACGAAAACAAAAAAAAATTGCTCGCGTCGAGACCATCAGCAAAATGCCGATCCTTTGACTCTTGATCATTCCCCTGCTCTTCCATCAGTGACGGTCGCTTTGCACGTTGTCTTGCCCAGGGACGTGCTAGATGTATGGGGAGAAAGGGGGGCAGCCTGTCGTCGCGGACATCGTAACTACTCGGATGGCGAGAAGCTGGGCGGTGCAAGTCGATGTACGGGCTGCGCTGCGCCAATCCACATGGGTGCATGCATATCGTGGCCTCTGATTGCGCTAAATCTTTCCTCGAGCGCGTCGTTTGCGCCACCAACCTCGATCGAGAGCCCTCGCGCGGGGGGGGGTTGGCGTGCGTGCAGCGGGCTAGCTGCTGAAGGTGTCGCTTATCATCGGCACGCAGGACCCTCGCGAGCCAATCCAGCCCACAGACAGGTGGGGCTGTGCTGTGCTGATGCCGCAAGTCAGATTACAGCACTGATCCCGCAACCGAGCGTCGTCAGGCGCAAAGCAACGTCAGGATGAGCCGCGAGTTGCCGAGGTGGGTGTGGACACATGCTGCGACCCCGTTGTTTCACGTACCAAGCTTGATTGCGTCGAGAGAGCAGATGTCGCTGGGGCTAGCTCGCTCTGGAAGCTGTGATTGATGAGGCTGTACAAATACAATTGACCAGCATGCCACGAGTAGTATGGCCGTTTGGAGCTGCTGTAGTCAGAACAAGTGAACGTGGTCGTCCGGCGTCTTCGATCCCGACCTCGAAGCCCACTCATGTGGCGCAAATCTTCGAGTGAAGTCGTCATGCGGACCTGCACGGCTCCATCCATACGTGTCATCCGCCATCTACTTCGACCTCTCATCAGCCCATCTCTGGCTCCTCGTCCTCCTCCTCCTCCTCCTCATCATCATCATCATCGTCATCGTCGTCGTCAGCCCCATCTTCATCTTCATCTTGACGTGCAGCCTGTGCATTCGCTTCTGACGAAGGCCCACGACCAGCCAAGCTGAGTCTCTCAAGAACTCTGCGCGTAGCCAGCTCCATCCTCTCCTCTTCGATCGCTTGCAAAGCTTCTTGCGCTTCAGCTTCCAGCGCAGCGGCTTCCGTCGAAGTCAAGATCTGTACCCTGGACTTGCGAGCTGTCGTCGATTCCACCTGGCACATCAGAAAACAGGGGGTGGGGGGGGGGACCAGAATGAACTGGGACGTCGTCAACCCGGCGCTCGATGTACAGACCCAAAGTCGCAATGTAAAGAGCTCTGCAAGGTCACTCACCAACTCGTCCTCCCTATCCTGCTTTTGTAAAAACCTCCTCGCGCGCGTCGTATATCTGGGGGCAGGTTGTGCAGACGCTCTATCTTCCGTGGGCGAATGGAGCGTCGGTGTGGACGGTTCGCTATGCGACTGTGCTGCTGGCCGCTCCAAGCTCAACGAGTCCATCTCTCCACTGATCGAAGCTTCTCTCTTGAAGCTCAATAGATCCCTAGCTCTTTGCGTATCTTCCTCGATCCTACTCTTATCCTCTTCGCTCAGCACCTTGCTCACTTCCAATCGAGCCATCAACGATTCGTTCCGATCGATGACTTCTTGCAATTGCTTGTCCGTCATGCGTTGCATGTTGGGCTGACGAGCAGGGCGAGGCGTGAAGAGGCTGGAACGAGGAGCGAGCGAAGTAGCTCTCCTCGAACGATGATCTTCTCTGACGCGTGTTTGATTTTTTCGAGATTGGTCACCTCTCCATTGTGCTTGCTGAGCGCTCGAGCTGGAAGAAGCGGCGGTGCGAGCACGAGTGTTCATGGCGGGTGGAGAAGAGCTGCGTCTGTATAGATGGGGCGATGGTGGAGCGCGAGTGCTACTGCTGGACTCATCGCCCATGCTCGCAAGAGATCGTCGAGCGTGCACCTGCTCCATCATGGTCAGCTCGGCGAAAGCCTTTGAAGCGTACGCGACATTGGCATCGTAGGGCTCAACAGCCAGTGCGAGCGATGATGATCCGTCCTGCCAACCAGAGCCAGACGCTTCGACGCGTGGTGCGTCCATGCCTCGTTTGCCCGGACCTGGCAAAGGGATCATGTCGGCTCAAGCTTGTGCGAGGGCGAGGGCTCTGTAGGATGACAAAAGCCGAGTCTCGGGCAGGTGGCAGTCTATCACTGCGGGATTTGTGCTGATTAGCGTGTGATGGCGGCGTGGATGGCAGTCAAGCGTGGATGGCTCAGATGTCGAGTTCACGGTGCGTGTAGGGGTTGCAGAGCGATCAAGGAAAGATGTGGATGTGGATGTGGATGTGGATGTGGACGTGGATGTGAGAGTGGATGGGTGGATGCGCGCAAGTCTGGATGAATGTATTGAAGCGGCGTGCGAGCGTGCATGCATGCATGCATGCATGCTAACCCACAGAGGTACATCCCTCCTCAAATTTCAGGGCGCCCCGTGCACACCTTCATCGACGCCTCTCACGTGATGTGGGAATGTACTCCTGCCGCCTACAGCATCCGACTCACGACTCAAACCTCATCAGACTGTTTCACTTTTGACTTGACAGGCCAGCAGCACGACGTTCATGTAGAATCTGAACTCCACAAGCCTTGACCTCACCTCGTGCTTGGTCGTCTTGACCCTCAAAGATGGCGGAATGTCGCAGGATTAAAATTTCCCAAAAGAGGACCGAATGACCGAAAGTCGGCGCAGAACGATCCTCACATCCTGCCGAGGAGGAGGAGAAGGAGGAGGAGGAGGAGGAGGAGGAGGAGGAGGAGGAG